AGCGCAGCCGCACCGGGGATATCAAACAACAGCCAATCACTTGAGAGAAAGATAACCAAGAAAATAAGTCCAGTAATGCATAAGGAAACAGTGACATAAATCGTAAATTAATGAGCATATGAAGTAAGTTGTTTACCAACGAATACGGGGTGAGTTCACGAGGTCAGAAAGTTTATTTTAGGGAAATACTACAAACACGAAAATGTTATCGAAATAACTACAAGTGGCTTAAGCGACGTGTGCAAGTGTATAGAAGTGAGTACAAGTAAGCATTTATATGGGAAAGAAAAGCATTAGGACAAAATTGAAAACCCAACAGGTGAAATAAATAGACAGCATGCAAGCACGCGGTTAGTAAATCGAATGCAGCGTACCTACAAACGCTGCGCCGGTTCTGCCTACGTTCTCTACAGGAGCCGTCGTCGCTTCGGTAGCAGTCCCGAGTAGCCTCGCTCATGGCTCACTGGGCCTTCCGGACTGAGGCACTCGTGACGGCATGTGCTACAGCACCATGCGCTCGATGTCGATGGAGTACAACCCATCGGTGCTTGCCGCTTCCGCAATTGCCGCTTCTTCTCTGCATGTATGAGTTCTATTTTTCGCCCTTCGGCAACTGCCTTCATGATTAGATCGCGCCATGCACGCCGATCAGCCGCCTTTGATTCCCATGACCTGCAATCAAGATTAGGACGTGAGAGGCTCACTTTAATCATGTCCTGGTATCGTAACTTTAGTTTCCGCACATGCCGCTTCCCAATACTCAGCTGACCATATAATAGCTGCTTCGGTATCCGCGTTAAATCCATACGCCACGCATGACCGAGCCACCTCAGGTGTCTCAATAAAAGTATGCAGTCAACTGCATACATCTCACTTTGTCGCAACACTTCTTTGTCAGCAACTCTGTCGCCCCAAGTGATGCGCAAAATTCGTCGCAAACACTGTTGATGGAACCGCTCGAGATATCGCACATCCCGACGGTACATCGTCCACGTTTCACTGCCGTATAGAAGAACGGACAGCACCATGGATTTGTACACCATCAGTTTCGTGCCAATGGTTAGCTGATGGTTGTTCCATCCTCGGTACTGTAGCTTCCCGAATGCCACCGCTGCCTTCAACACACGGATACGCAGCTCATTGTGTAGCTGCTGGTCAGTCGACATCACACTCCTTAGGTAGCTGAAGCCGGTGGTGGTTTCCAATACTTCGGCAGCAATGCTGATTCGCGGCGATATTGAAGATTGCACCTCCGGTGAAAACTGCAAGAGACAGACAATTGTGCTTGTGTTGATGGTGAGCCCGAATTTGGCCGCTGTCGAAGCCAGAGCACTAGTCATGTGGTGCAACTCATCCGCGCTGTGTGCAAACAACGCACAGTCGTCAGCAAACAGCAACATGCGGATAGTTGTCTCACAGACTAGTTAGTGTTCTCGCATCGAAACGACGAATGTTCAGCAACCCACCATCAATACGGTGCTCCACACGAACACCGTAAGCACAAGCCGCATCAAAAGCACAAGACAACATTGCATGAATATAGATATTAAACAGGGCAGGAGCTAAGACACAGCCTTGCTTCACACCAGTGACAACTGTAAAGTCTTCCGAGGTCTCTCCACTCAGCTGCACCCTCGCTCGCATACCACTGTGCAGACATTCAATTAAATTTACAAACTTACGCGGGCAACCAAACTTACCCAACACCAGCCACAATGCTTCGCGGTTCACCGTATCAAATGCCTTGGTGAAATCAACAAAAAGCGAGTACAATGGCTGGTGTCGTTCTCTGCACTTCTCTTGCAACTGACGAGCCGCAAACACCATATCTATAGTGCTGCGACCCGAACGGAATCCGCCCTTATCTTCCGCCACGTTAGCTTCCGCTATCTGACTGATGAGGCGGTTGAGCAGGATTCGGGCAATCACCTTGCTTACACAACTCAGCAAGTTGATACCACGGTAATTCGTGCAACGTTGCTTGCTCCCTTTGCCCTTGTACAGTGGTAGCACAACGGCATCCTTCAGCTCAGGAGGCACCTCCTCCTCAATCCATACGCGTTGCACCAAGTGGTGCAGCTCAGTCAACAACGTGGGTCCGCTATGTTTCAGTACTTCAGACGGGATCCCATCGGCACCGGCGCACTTGCCGTTTCGCAGCTGAGCAAGTGCCCTCTGCGTCTCGTCCAGTGTCGGCGTGTCTGCCAGACTTGTCTTCATATCGTGTTGCTTGTTTCCGTTCATTGTGGGCCAGTCGATTTCTGAACGGTTGTTCAAGAGACAGTCAAAGTGATTTCGCCAGATCTGCATTATGTCTACAGTCTGTGTGCAGGTAGCGCCTGAACTACCATCGATCAGCGTCCTCAGCGGCTCCAATCTCGGTCCATACACCGCCTTCAAGGAGTCAAAGAATTCTTTGTGTTGGCGGCCTTCGGCGTAGCATTCCATCTTCTTCGCCTTCTCCGTTCACCATGCATTTTTTATGCGACGGAGCTCTCGAGTCAGTCGCCGTCGAAGTTTGCGAAACTGACTACTCTTTCCCAAGTCACTGGGGTCTGCAACATGTGCAGCAAATGCTGCATTCTTCTCCGACACCAATGCGCCAATCGTCGCATTGTTGTCATCAAACCAATCAGGTCGCTTACGGTTTGCGCGCCCGATGGTCTCCTCTGCAGCAGCTGTCACCTGATCGCGAATGTGGTGCCACAGGTCGCCCACTGTGGCTATGCAGTCCACATCACACAGGCGTGTAGCCATCGCCTTCTCCAGTTCTTTGCGATTCTCCACAATTCCGAGGGAGCGAATGTTATATTTACGCCGGTTCACGGTAAGAGTGCAATACATAGACTTACGAAAACATATGTACAGTTTGGTCCTCACCAATTTGTGATCCGTGTCACACTCAGCTCCACGCAGTACACGTGTCATGCGCACTTCACGCATATCGCGCTGACGTACGATGACATAGTCGAGCAGGTGAGCGTGACCACTCCGTGGGTGCATCCAAGTTGCTATATCACTCGCACTCATTGCAATCCGAGTGTTTATGATCGTCAGGCCATGAGTGGCACACAGTGAGAGCAGCCTGTCACCGTTTGCATTCGCTGAACCAATGCCATGCGGACCGATAACATGTATCCACACGGATGCATCACGCCCAACGCGCGCGTTGAAATCACCCAGCAGAAATAGTCGGTCGCTCCTTGGCACAGACCGTATCACGGAGGATAACTGAGTGTAGAATTGATCACGCGTGTCACCAGGATAACACATTGTCGGACCGTACGTGCTTATAAAAGTAGCAAACTTACCTATTCCGAGTCGTAGGCGAACAGTAATCAGTCGCGCGCTGATGCCTGTTGGTTCACCCACCATCTGGCCATTCAGGCGGTCGGATATTGCAAATCCGACCCCATGATCACGTGGAGATATATATATATTTGGCTGTTTGACATCCCCGGTGGGGCTGCGTTTGATGTATGTTGACAAGGTGCCTACTTGTCTAGCACCCTCCACCTCGATTACTGGCTCCAGGACGCGGTGAATCATTGCTGGAGGGACGGGTTGCACGGTACTCTTTGCCGTGTTAGGCTCCAAGTGTAGTTCCACCCAGTGTGGAGCGGACTACGGTCTAGTCACCGCCTTGTGTACGTTTGATACGCATGATTACCCACATAGATGGAAATGAATGCTACTTCTGTGTGAGTCGGCTCTGTTGATGAAACGTGGCTCTCATCCACCCGCCTCCTGGTCTTATTCCTTCTAGTTTACACTAGATATGGGGTGTGTGGATGTAGCCGTTGGTGGTGCAGCGCAAGCCACCGATGGTCCCTCTGTAGGCGCAGACATCCTGTGGTTGTCCTATGGCGACCACAATGACCGACAAATCTGTATGCGGTTGCCGCGAACCCTATCTCCCTGGCTGATTCATGCAGCTCTACTTGGGAGTAAGTATGGCTTAATTCGAGTTTGGATAACTTCTGTCCACTTGACAGACATGGATATAAGTCATCAATCCGCCCATTTTTAAGCAAGCGGTCAAGCCCACTTAAGCAACTTCCTTCAGATTGGCATGCCTCAATGTACGCACATTGCTACAGATCAGTTAACAGTCAGCACTTGCAGGAACACTAGAGACCCCCCTTCGATCGATATCTGCTACTTATCGGAAATCTGCCTGCAAGACTCTAGCTCCGTGCTCACTTTGCGATCCCTTTCAAGTGACACCAGCAGTGCTTTCTCATTGCGCCAGAAAATGGTGTACACCGATGTATGTATGTGCTGAGTTGTGGATGCGTCTTGGCGGACGCCCACGATAACCCTGTGAGCGAAATGACACTGGCTAACGGGCGAAGTCAGCTGTTCTCAGTGCGTATTGGTCGAGAGGAATGATGGCCCTCACTTCCTAGTTGTTCTCGGTTGATGTTGCGACCCCCTGCTATTCGTTCCAAAGACCATGAACACCTTTGTTTCGAATCACCTGTAGACACAACGGAGAACCGACAACAGTGGCGTGTTTTGTGGGTTCCCTTATCCCGCCCTCTAGCCAGGATCTCGTTGTTTATGCATGCTATAAACAAGCCATAATGGCATTTCTATTTTTATCTCCTTTTTATTGTTGTTGCTTGAATTGTACTGCTGTACTGTGTTTTTTACAACTTAGCTAATGTGTAACATGACCTGGATCATGTGAGTGAAAACGACTGGATCCGCTACATTTCCTTGCGCCGACCTTAGACCACAAACTGAGCTTCTACTTAATACTGGCTGTTTTTTACTTTTTTTGTAGTGTTAGTGTTTTTAGCCATAACTGACCGGGGTTTACCTTGAACTCTACGCGCTTCGGCTTATTTTATCAGTCCTCCCATCGAACCATACCTTTGATATATACTTGTTTGTGGCGATTTCTATTATCCTGTTCAGATCGCGAACCTGCAAACTCAAGATAATCCCATTATACTTCTCAACTGCATTTATTTATTTGATTTTACCACTTCTAGGAAGCTCCATTAGAAAGTTTCAGTGACTACTTGTTCGCATTGGGGAGCCATGCTGCCTATTGGGAGTCGAAGGACACCTCCCTCTTCCTTCTCACAGAAACCTACGCTGTACAATCGGTGACTCCTGTGACTTCAGAACCGCAGTCTTCGGACGAAGTACCTGTGCCGAGTTTGCTACCCGCCAGCGGCGATGCAGTTTCGTCGATTCAGCCACTGCCTCCGCTTGCTGCCTGCTTTCCCACCAGTGTGCCCCTTCTGTGTCCTATGCCACCAGCACCCGACGATCCAATGGCATTAACGACTTCATGCGATGCTTCGCCCAGAAGTCTGCCAATTGCTGACGATTCTGAAATGCCGGTCGCATCCGGTCAATTGACTGACACAGTACTGCTCCAGCCGGCTCCCATGGATCCACTTTACACTAAATTTCATGGAGAGCATGTGGACTCTTCAGGTTTATCACACGAAGACCTACCGATTTCAGGTGAGATAGCTGCTTGGATCTTGAAGGACTTATGTTTCTGTTTCGTAATCTTAAATCAAATTTTGCAAGGTTAACGAGCAGGTCGGTTTTAAGTGAGTACTTCACTGGTGCATATTGTTAATCATATGTTTGATTCTTTCCAAAATGTGATGGCTGGTTGTATCTGATTTACTACTTATCTCTTTGGCAGCAAATAGACGCAGCGAGACCGGGGAGGGACTGCGCTGCGTCGCCAGCATCTCCATCTGAAAACCTCATATTCATCGTGGGCATGAGGTAATAACACTGGTAATCGAGACCGCGATTGATTTGAAACCAGTCAACGCTCCTTCGAAATTCACATTCTTGAAGTAAACTTTGGAGAAACATGCGTGCCGTAAGCACACAGGGCTATGATTGGGAAGTTACGTGGACTCTTATGGGGTCGCTCTTTTTAACCTGGACCTCAGAAGCGATTTGAACTCATTTGGTACATGTACTCGAAGTGATTGTATTTATGTGCCCGTATGGGTGCATTTTCAGGGTTTTACACTATCGACTGCGAACAGCGCCGTCAACAGCGAGCTTGCGTTGGTGGAAACACGAAAGAAGAAGCACAGATGTTAGTGGAATAAACGGCCCCATCTCACCAAATTACTACTAGAGTTATGTTGACAGCACAGCGTCCTAGACTAGCTCGCGAAAGAATATAGTGTTTTCCCACTTCACGAAAACATTACCTGATGTTTCGTTTTAGCCTATGATCGAAGTGAACAAATCGCGAGTTTGAGGCAGTTACTCGAAGTTTTTTTCCCAAAATACCGGTGGAGTGGGACATTGTTACTGGTCTAGGAATTATTTCAACTATTGTAACTGTTAACGATATTCCCATAAGACTGATAAAACTACAGTAGATGGCAAATACGCCATGCTCCGGCGAAGACAGCACGACCGCTTTAGGGACCACAGCATCGATAGGCCACAACATAGATCTTATCAGACCGAACTCAGTTCAATTGCTGCGCGACATTTCCGAAAGTGATGGTCGGATACCGTCCTCCATGGCGCAGTTGCATAAGCTGCGGGCTAGTTGGCAAGTCACTAGCAGTCATGGGTTCGATCCTCCGCAGAGGACCGAAGGATGCGCACCACTGATGAGCCCCAATAGGGCGAAACGGCCGTCTGGTGCTTTTCCGGATAGCTAGTTGACTTAGCTGAATTGTCGGCTGATTGCGACGAACAAAAATACTCACCAAAATCTTTCATAAGTAGTAGTTGACATATTTTTACTTACGTAGGTCTGTAGCAGTGTGCCTTCCTCTGTCTTGTCTAACAGAGTCGCTAAGCCTTAACTACTACTCTTCCATCGGACGATGCAGTTGTCATTTGGACCCTGTTCCACGGCCTTTTTCTAGATTTTCTTTACTCACCGCTTTTATTTTCATCGCAGCACGATCCATGGCTCCTGAATCCGCAGCACATCAAATTTGGATTATGGTTGCTTAGCTGAATTGAAGTGTTTCGAGCATGGATCTTACTCATAAGCAAGGCACTTGATATGCTATTCTTGTTTCGCGTCCTTCATTATCTCCCGAGCAATGGATCGCTCTATCTTTATGAACCTTTCTACCTTCAAATGAGTTAGATCCAGCGCGCTCCCAGTGACCCATCATCCAGCCGTTGTTGCGTTGTTTACGGTTAGCAATTTGGTTGCAAACGTTTCGTTACTAGTCCAAGTGACGTTACCGGTATGCAAGAGTTGGCAGTTTCGTAACAGAAGCTGCCGAATCCGCATTCCACTAGAGCCGTTCGATATCTTCCACCTCATCCTGGCTGGTCAGACTATAGGTGAGAGCCGTACTCTAGCATTGTTTTCACGATGGAGGAGAAGATGCGAGTGGCGTACTCTTCAGAGCAAGTGTAGAATCTGTGTTTGCGCGCCCAATACACATGCATTCCGTTACGGTATAGCCTTTCCGTGTTGTTTACGGGCTTCGAATCGCTCCGTGAGAGCATGCTTGGGTCCTTGACTGGAGTTGTGACATAAAGTTGTTGGCTATTGAGGGTTTATTTTCGGCTTTCCCAGACTCATGAATAACGATTTGTCTGTTTGTATGGAAGACGAGTTTCTGCTAACTACCGGAATTGCTGCTGAAGTAAGCCATAGTCGTCGGGAGTACTAACCATCATCCACCTTTTCAGATCGTTTGTAAACAGAGCACTTGGCTACTGGTAGAGTTTAGGCTGACCGTTAATGCAGATAATAAACGAAATGGGCCTCAACGTTATGTGTTGAGGTATGTCTGTGGTCGAGGGAGTTATCACCATGAGCTTCTGCTCTGCATTCATGATATTAAGGTAGGTCGGACGATCATGAGATCGTACTAATACTAATAAGGTGTGATTCAAGGAGCAAATCTTAAGTTGCGCAAATGCTTCACCGACTGCTTCGATGATTACAACCTGCAAATCCCTTCTCGGGATCGCAACTTGCTATTTTTTGCAGAGCTATCTGGGCTGATTACCTCATTCAAGTTCAGAAAGACAACCAGCACTTCACTCAACAGGCATCTAGAAGTTTTGACAAAACCATCCTCTTCCTGACGCTCACGATGAGTCTGACAACATCGAGGAAAGTGCCGTCTTGTCGCGTTAAACATCAGCATCATCATCATTATATACATTAGCTAGAGATGGGAAACACCTCAGCTACTGCGCCGCAATACATAAAAGGGAAAAGGGAAAAATACCAGAGATGCAAGCCAGTTTAGTCACCGGTAACGGTTGGGCATTGTTCCGGTAAGCTACCAGCCAACCGTTATGCAGCAAAACAAATTTAATATGCTATCTTATATTGGGCTAAGAAGTAAGATCGTGATTGGAGGGGAGGCTAAGAGGGATGAGTGGGACAAAGAAACTCACACCACGAACGGCATTAAGGTCGGTTCTTAGCCATGTCTGTAAGTATATCCAGCCAAGCGTGTTCATCATCTTTCGGACCCCAATCAGGGAGCCGAGACGCTCCAAACGACGCCAGCTTCGAAGTGAGGGTCTTCATTCCTCTCGACAAAGTCATCGCTTGGCCACCTCTTCTTCCATCCACACCCCGCCCGCAAACAACGCACCTCGCGCCAGTCGGTGGGCTAGTCTGCGTAACACGTGGCCGAGCCATCGGAGTCTGGTGCGTGAAATAACCACTGGTGCTGAGTGGTTCAATACCACTTCCTGTTCCGTAAGCAAGACGTCGAACACGCTCGTTCCTTAATCGGTATTCCCACCAGATGTGAGACAAACTGCGAAGACACCGGTGATCGAGCGTAACTACCCTATTTATGTAGACTGATCTAAAGGGCCAGGTTTCACAACCGTACAGTAAGGTCGAACGTACCGCTGCATTGTACGCTCTACTGTTCAGAGAGAGTGTGTGTGTGTGATCTCGCGCCGGCGTCAAACATGATGAAGGTTAGCAAAAGCTCCTCGAGTTTTTGCTATACGATTCGTTATCTCATCTTCGATCCCAAGGACACTGATACAATTTCGCAGGGAGTTGAACTTTTGAACGACTACCAGCTGATCCCCACATAGGGTCAGCGCAGGAGGCGTTCCATGCCAACCTTGGAAGGAAGCTTTGCACTTGGAGGATGCAAAGCGAAGCCCGAAGCGGCTGACAGCCAGTGCTAATCTGTCCAGTGCAGCTTTGCACGTCTGAGAGCTGTCACAGATAAGGGCAATATTGTCGGCATACATCCGTCAATAAATCGTTCTGCTGGGAGCAGATCCACACCTTCTAAGTCGTGTCCTGTGAACGCGATTTCCATGACTTCGTCAATAGCGAAGTCGAAGAGGAAAGGTGATGGCGGATATCCTTGTCTCACGTCGCTGGAGATATTGTAGAGCAGTGACAGCTTGCCGTAATCCCTCACTCTGCTCGAGCTACGCGCGTATAGTGCACTGATGATATTTACATATTTCTCCGGCACACGTTTGCTGAGTAGACAGTCCCAAAGAGTATACCGATCAACCGAATCCAATGCACCTTTGATGTCAAGGAACACGACTACGGTGGGCCGCCAATATATGTGACGGTGCTCGAACAACTGACTCAAAGTGAATATGTGGTCAATGCAGCCACGACGTCGACGAAACCCGGCTTGCACTTCACGAATCTGGCTTTCACGAGTGCCAGTCAGTTTGTGAAAGATGACAGAGACAAGCGATGGAGATCAGACTGATTACTGTATAGTTGCCGCGTTCCGATCTTGAGCCTCCCTTGCAAATTGGAATCATGACAGAACAGTTCAAGTTAGTTGGGACAGTTTCCTGTTCCCACAATTTCACTAGTAACTCGTGTAAATCATCCACAAGAACAGGTCCCCCGAATTGGAAGAGGGCTGGATGAAGGTTATCTGGTCCCGCGGCTCTAGTTAACTTCAACAGTTCGATCTTACTTTCGACTTCTGAGCGAGAGGGTGGATCCAAAGGGACAGCCCAGAGAGCAGGGCGGTCAGTGGCCGGCGAGAAATCTGACAATTCCGACCGAGTGAATTACCTTTCAACGTGTTCAGCCCAACGCTGCAAATGTTTTGACAAGTTGTGGATATACTGTTCACTCTCGTCACGTATAGTTTCACTAACACTAGGTCTCCTGCTGCCCATTTCCCGTATCAGACGAAATTACTTACGATGGTTGGTTACCAAAGCCAGCGTCCACTTTCATCTCTGACGCACGCCAAAACCACCAGGATTCGCCGTCTCTCTTCAAGCTAGCGCAGTTTTACCCGGAGGTTTCTGCGCGTTACATTGTGTTCGATTGCAACCGAAATGTGCCGGCGAGCATCGATAAGTTCCAGAGACTGCGAAGAAACCCAATGTCCCTGGTGGCTATTAGACTTACCACCTGAGAATTTGCCCGTTGCTAGTAAGGTCTGTTGAACATGCGACCAGTGACCTTCAGTTGTATTCAGTGAGCGTTTACACAACCCGGATGTTAGCGTACTTCGATACGCATTGAGAACAGCTGACTTCGCCAGTTAGCTAGTGTCATTTCGCTCACAGGATTGTCTTGGACGTCCGCCAAAACGCACCCGCAACTCAGCACATACATACATCGGTGTACACCATTTTCTGGCGTAATGAGAAAGCACTGCTGGTGTCACTTGAAGGGGATCGCAAAGTGAGCACGGAGCTCGTGTCTTGCAGGCAGATTTCCTCTAAGCAGCAGATATCGATCGAGGGGGAGTCACTAGTGTTCTTGCAAGTGCTGACTGTTAACCGATCTGTAGCAATGTGCGTACCTGAGTCATGCCATTCTGAAGGAGGATCGACGGCTCCAAATGGAAGGTGTTTAACTGGGCTTGACCACTTGCTTGCACATGAGCTTTTCGACAGAAGAGGTGTGGCGCCCTGCGTTTTCATGTGGTTTGAATTAGAAGCTAAACGCGTATCAAAGCAAGGTGTTGGAAGGCCAAGAATCTTGTCTTCAGAACAGGGGGTATAAAAGTGAAGTTGGTACGGGACGATAAGAGTGAAAAAGTGTAAGAGAGTTATAAGGTGATGGGAACTCCCGGGCAGTAGCATCCAAGCCTTTATCCACCCTTCTTGATGCAGCAGATAGGGCGCCATTGATTATCTTCTGCGATGGCCAGAGCATCAGGAAAATGTTGCAGAAAAGATTCACGCTAATGTGTGGGCAGAATGCTGTCAGGTTGTGAAAGCTTATACAGGCGAACGGTTAGGGTTCTCAACTAAAGTCTTTGATTCAAAACCTGACCGCAAGGCAGCGGGTTTGACAGTGAGCTACAAGGAGTCCGTTTTAAGAAATAAGCAGGCGCCCTCATTCTAACCCCAATCTGGAGGACCAGGAGGCTGAGTTTATCTGACCTCTAACCAGTGACCAGTCTGGTGTAAGTGGCTCTAAAATTACAAGAAGTACCACCCAGCATAGGTTATTGGATCGCTGAAGCACTCAAACCATCACACCACGGTAAGGTCCAGCCTCCTTGCGATGGAGGACTTCGCAACACCGTTGCGCCGCTCACCCAGGTGAAGGCTGAATGTACCTGGGAGGAAACGCCCCCAGTGCTTGCTTGGGGACCTCATGATGCCAAGTGCTCCCAATCCCACGTTCCTTTCGGAGTGCTCATTGTGTGTTTGGATTGTGACACACGCAGTTTCTGTCGGACTTGGTCCTACCGATCACTAGGACCTTATCCTAATTGGAAAGTTTTCGATGTTGCTCTCTCCAAGCATTACAATCCAAGCACCTGGCGTGCACTATAAAGCTAAACGTCGAACTCCTGTCTGCTATGTTACGTGCCTTTCACGCACTTGAGTGCTCCATTGGTCAAAACGTCACCTGTCAATTACTGTGTCACAAGTTTCATTTCCAATTTTGACTGTCTTGATGAGCCCAGGCGAGGGCGAAGCAAGTCGTAAATGATAGTGTTCCGAGTGATAGACGTCGAACATGCTCCCAGCCTTGTTCATCACCACCGCCGGATACTCAACCACATCAACCTCTCATCAGTACGCCGGTAAGCCGTTCCGGTGCTTCGCTGCAGCGCAACCACCAACATTCGCACGTGGGCTACGGATACTACGAAGCTCGCCCGATCCCCTGCGCAGCCTCGAACCCGCGCCCTCCAATTACAAAGCAAACTTGTGGTCCTTTAGGCTACGGGCCGACTCATCAACCTTTAAGGTGGGCATCACAGTCCTCTAAAGCGCCATCGGAATCACCTTTTTCACAAATTCACTCACTTTTGCTCACACTTTGACGAATTTCAAAAGCGGTTGATCCTCTTCACTTTTCTCATCCGTTGCAACATTTTTTCTTGCCATAACGGCGCATTATAGATCGCACTGAGATTCGTGTATTCAGTTGGACATTCCCATAGACATACGAGGCATCAAGTGATGGCTTTGTATTCCGTCTTTGTATGATGTAATTCAGTTCCCACCCTTGCTATCCATCTGAACGTGCATTGAATTCGCTACTTTACTTTTAATGTTTCTCCTGATTTTCCACGAATTTATGGTAGTCAGTATTGAATACATGCGCCTGAACTGACTCCTTGATTATGTGGGGCAGCTCTTTGTTATCCCATGTACGTCTAGACTATTTGAGCATTATTAATCGCGATAACTTCCAAGTCAGATAGCCTTTCACGTATCCAGCATGGCATTAGGCAACCATTTCGTCCTATCAAGTCTTATGCATCGTTCTCCAATTATTGAAGTACTTTAGCACGCTTTTACCGTCGTAGCTCCCTGCAATTCTGAATACTGGTACTTCGGCTTGGTAGCGTATACTCTCAGTATGCAAATCTGGGGATGGATCTGGCTAGATAATACGCTGTTCTTTATCTAAACTATGCTGTTTGTAACTATTTTGATTGCTTATTCATGGTGCCTTGGTCGTTTGCATTTGGTTACAAAAAGGTTACTGCGATGTGGTTTGGACTTTCTTACTTCTACTAGCGCGTTGGGTATAAAGTTACCATTCTTAACTAACGCCGGCTGCTGTGCACATTCTCGGATAATGCATACCTCTCTTTCTAGACGAAACAAAATCCGCAATTCGAATAAAAGCAATCCAGTGTCGAAAATAAGCCAATTAACTGAAGTTAGCGCAGAATACCAAATTTACACTTGCTACCATGACTAACTAACCTGAATAAACTAAGGTTATAAGTAGCAGAAGTCTATATGAAAAAAGTAGTACCTAGCAATATCCATCCTTGAATTTCTCTTCTGTCAGTATGTTACCAAACTGCTATTCCTCCCGCATGAGAATGATGCCACCTCGACTGATGACAACACGTCTGCAATCGAATTGTCCAACTCGGTGAGCAACCTAACAACTGAGCGCAGATCACATTGCAAGCTCCTGCCGACACTTTCACAGTGCTTTTGATTTTCCAACCTTATTCCACTGTCGTTGACCTTAGTGTCCCGCCTATTTCTCCTTCTCAATACTCTTGTTATACAATCCATTGACCTTAGTGTGAACTCCTGCATCCCGACCGCTAATGGTGTCGGCATGTAGCCTAGAGGTAACGAGCTTGCCTCGTAATCTTGCGGCGCGGGTTCCAATCCGCGTAGGAATGGACCTCCTCGCGGTATACTCGGCCCGCGTGCGACTGATGGTGGTCGCACGGCAGCGAAGCGTCATTACGGGGTACAGCTGACACATTTTTCACTGTTAATTGTCATTCTACCCACCGTTACTTTGGGGTTCGCGGCTCCACCTTGGCTGAGAAATTTTGTACTTTAACAGCTATGTGTCCTCCCCTTACGTACTTGCACTGTTTATTCCTCGCGCTGACTCTTAACGGCACTGATTTTGGATATGTTGGTTGTTCCGTTGAATAAGCTTTCGGATTGTAGCTATTCTATCGATGTTTCGTTCATCTGCCATGAATTGCTCTTGCGACAGATAGTGCGATAAACAATAGTTATTCCACTGCGCTTAACACTCGCCAAGCTGCTGCAGGTTTGCGATCACCCTTCACTGTAGTCATATATGGCTCATCTTGAGCAGAATTTGCGTGCATCGAGATCTTTTCTTTTCGCGCTGCAACGGATGGTAGATCAGTGCCGTATAACAGGTGTTGTTTATACTTCTTGCGCGGAGTGTCCTTGGAGCCAAGGAGCGTCTGCTTAGCTACTGCACTACTTAAACGAGTGAAAATTCCCAAGGAAAGCGTCTGGTACTCTAAAGCAAGCTCTCGCTGACAACCTTGGTACCACTTCTCAACGTAAAACCATATAAATTAGCTTGGAGTCATGGTAAAACCTTCGCTTTTACCTTCATGTTCACTGGGGTAGTTGCTTGATCATTTGGACTACTCTTGTTACTGGTCATAACGTTTTTCAAATTATCCCCTTCTCTTGACCGTTCCTCTCTTACCAGTGCCATTTCCACTGAAATGTGCGTATACGATCGTCGCCTCAGTAAATCTTAGCCTTCATTCTCACTCGTTCTAGATTACAAGCACAGCGTGTCGTACTCACGACTTTCAATACTGGTTCATGTGACATTTTTCCATCGAACTAGAAGCATAGGAATTAGGCTATATAGTCCTGTCATCCATGCTAGTTCTGACAATCACTGCGCATCTCACTGGTTAGTTGCTAGAGGAACAAGTGTTCTGGAACTTCTGGCTTAAGTGTCATCATAAACATCTGGCCTTTTTTGACCGTTTACTGCATGAGCTGGAAGTTTCGTCCACCCTCCTCGTTTCCTTAACGGACCATGAACCTTTTTTAATCTTTCAGCTTCCAGTTTCACCCCGAATTCCAAATTTGAGTAGGTTTCTTGCTTTTCCTTGCCATTGTTTGTTTCGGCTTTATCTCTGATCTCCTTCTGAATAATCACTTCGTTGTTCATGGACATAATTCATTAAGGAGCTTGTGGTTGTACCGCTCGCGTTACCAAATTCCTGAGGTTATTTTATCCGCCCTTCCATCAGTCTAGTTATATTACTTTTGTGCTTTGACTCCTGGCCACATTTCTCTTTTTAACTATTTGCAGATGACGCTTCCCAGCACCCTATGGATACACGGATTCCTCACGCACTACCACCGTCAACCTCGCAATCCTATCAGCATGGTCCCCAGTATCCTGATCTCGCACACAATCCTGCAGTCTATAAACCGCCTCTCTCAGTAGCTACTTATCCTACTTTGGCATCTGTTAGCGAACCGCCTGTCGGTTTAACTATTCTACATTCATCCAACCCTTTAGATGTCTGTCGATACACATGGTCTGGTCCGTACTTGCCAACACCAGCTCCCTCAATAACTCCATCTTATCCAACGCAGTACCATCTGACATCATCTATTCCTCCACCATTGTCCAATCCAAGCTCTTTTCCCATACCGCCGCCTCCACCACCGCCTCCACTGCCATTTTCTTTTGCTCCTGGGTCGCTACCGTTTCCTCCACCAAGGTACGCCTTCCGTCCTCCGTAGGTGTCGCTTGCACCGACGCGCTCCAACCTGTATCGTGATACGAGCATATTTTTACGATACGTTTGTTTCGAAAGAACGCGCGCCCTATTTGTCTTTTTTTGTAACCGTGTCGATTCTGTGATCTGCGCGATTTGAGTTTACTTACACTTTGATCTACGTTCTATTACTTTTCGGCGTTTGATTTTGTCTTTGTATTTCTTGCAGCTGTTCTTGCTCATCGTGTGTATCCTGTCCGGAGTAAAACATTCTATTGTGCTCCATGCATGCTTTGTTTTTCTTGTCCTGTTTCTCTGGTAGTCACTTGAGGACTCAGTCAGCTCAGCGATATTCTCGTCTTACGACATCCTGTCGCTTACTGCGTTTCTGGCTGATTCAAGACAAATTCACCCTCCATCTTGCTTCACTTTCCCCCTGTTTTATCTCGAATCGAATTCGTAGATCTATTACACCTTTTACAAGTCGTTCACGTTGTCTTTCTTTACGAACGTCCTAAATTTCGCGCCATTAGGTTTCCGGAACCAATTGTCCCTCACCTAAGTACTTCCAACTATCCTGGGCTGTGCTTCAGATGTTCACTAAACCATCTTTAAAATGTCTTACTCAAACGCCACACGCCCGATTGTCCTACTTGGTCTCTGCGAACTGATGGGTACCTCATGACCAACCACTTGTTAGCGCACAATATTCAAGAGGCTTCGCTTTTGTGATCAGAAAGAGGTTCTTCAGCACATATGGAATCTTCATGAATTTGAATTTCCGATGTAGTTTTGTTGGGGTTCGCCGCTGTAGTTTCCATGTCAACTTGCCTACCACGCATTCCGAAAAGCACGAGCCACTTATCTGCTCTGCATGACAATGAAGAATAAGTCACACAGTGGGTCGCAGCTAACTTACTAGTCATGGTGGTCTGTGGCATGTGCAGCTGCCGTCGATAGATTATGAATACGGTTCCTTGTAGAATCGACGGATGCGCACTGCTATGAGGTCCCAGTAGGACGCAACGGCTGTCTGGTGCCTTTCTAGATGCGTGATTTAATAACTGACCTAGAGTCTATTGCGACGATCTCAATAGAAAGCACACCGGGTTATTGATCGGAGGGTCATCCTGAGACACTGTTTGTGTCAATGAATTGCGTGGCTCAATCTCATTCCCTTGAGAGGTATGAGCACATTTCCCGAGTCCATGATTTTTTTCAAGGAACGACGCTAGCTCCGTGGGGCGTCTGTTCTATTCATTTAAATGGGCGTTGGGTGTGTCGCTTCCCACCAAAGTATGCTCTGTTGGTTCGACCCGAAATTGACTTTCTGGTAGCTAGTCGACTCCGCAATAGGAGTCCATTTTACTAGATTTTATTAAGTATCTCAGAAACCAATAGTCGGAAACAACGTTCACTGGTTTTGTACATGCAAGCTTCCATTTCTTCTCAGCAGGCGTCTGAGTGTCCCATTTAGCTGCCTTTTAATTTTCAAGTCACCGGTTTTAGCCTACGTAATCGTGAAGGCTCTTACGGCATTCCTATCCCCCGCCTTAATATCAATGGTAACGAAACCTCAGTAAGATGTACCGGCGTAGTGCTGATGCTTTTGCCCTACACCCCATTCTGTAGTAGTAGTCTTACCATACAGGCTAATTCTGCTTTCGATTACTCTGCCTTTTATTCAAACGAGGACAACGCATTACTCTCTAACAGATACGAGGAGAGTATAGATATGGACAGGAAGAAACATGCGAATTTTCGCGAAACTAACTATGCATCACACCTAGAACCATTGACGGAGTTTGGCGCTAGTGTTTTCACATTTCGGCATGATGGTCTGATTGGAATGTAGGAATTAGGTTGGGAACTCGGTTTGCTTTAATCTTTCCGTTTCCACTGGTAACCTGAACTGGGTGCATTTAATTGTGATCACGCTATAGCATGAGAATGAAGTCTAAAGTTATGAATCGGTTCACCTCATCTCTTTATATTCCGTGAGGACAAGGGGCTCCAGTGTAGAATTGGCAACATTAAAAATCGCTGGATACAATTTAGAAGAACACTGCACTAAAGTGTTGGAGGGGCGGTGGGTACTCAATTATGCTTGTGCAAACGTTCATAATTACGGAGGCGTTCTACTACACTTGCTCTCTGACGTTGTTGCAGTGTGTCGTTTTGCTATCCTCATTGGCTGTTTGAAGTAGATTTTACTTGCGGATCGTAGTTCCGCACTTTTCCCGTCGCTGTGTGCAGCTGATTGGTTCAGTATTTGCGCGATCCTCATTGGTCTTGTCACTCTCCTTCAGGGCTATGGTTTAAACATAAAGTCATTATAAGGCGTCAAGAGCAGACAGCCTTCCTCCAGATCTTTTCAACTTCGGGGGGAACTGCTCTTATGGATGTTTTGCGCTCGTGATGGCCAAGCCTGCAGTCGGCCTACTCCTAGTTATAGTGACCACGTCTTTACTTCATGTTTGGGTGCGGCTATGTTTATTGCCGACACATCGTTTCCGTGTACCTCAACATCAAATGTACCATCGGTTCAGTGGATCGATGTGTTCTTTCATCATCATCATTATACACGTTTGTTAGAGGTGGAAAACATCTCAGCTACTGCGCCGCAATACATAAAAGGAAAAAAAACCTGCAGCTGATGCATGCTAGCTGGGCTACTAGTAACGGATGGACATCATTCTGGAAAGCTATCAGCCCGCTGCTATGCAACAAAAAAATTATTATGTAAACTTATATTATGCGAAGAAATGAGATCATGGCTGAAGAGGAAAGCTAAGCGCCACGGGTGGGACAAAGAAACACACAACACGAACGCTATTGTGGTCGGCTCCCATCCATGTCAGTAAGTGTAACCATCCAAACTTGTTCATCGTCTTTCGGACCCCAACCAGGAAGCCGAGACGCTCAGAACGAGGCCAGCTCCGAAGTGAGGGCCTTCATTCCTCTCGATCAAGTCATCGCTTGGCCACCTCTTCTTCCATCCACACCCCGGCGCGCACGTCGCGGGAGCCGGTGGGCTGACGTGCGTAACACGTGGCCGAGCTATCGGAGCCTGGTGCGTGAAATAACGGTGCTGAGCGGTTTATTACCTTTGCTTGTGTCGTAAACAAGGTGTCGAACACGCTCGTTCCTTAATCGGTGTTCCCACCAGATGTGAGGCAAACTGCGAAGGCACCGGTGGTCGAACGTAACTAGCCTCTTTATGTAAACTGATCTAAGGGGCCAGGTTCCACAACCGTACAGTAGGGTCAAATGTACCGCTGCATTGTACACTCTACACTTCAGGGAGAGCGTGAGGTCTTGCCGCCACCATAGGTGGCGAAGGTTAGCAAAAGCCCGAGGCGCTTTTGCTATACGATTCATTATCTCATCTTCCATCCCAAGGGCGCTGATGCGACTTTGGTAGTTTAACTTTTGAACGGCTATCAGCCGATCCCACATAGGGTTAGCGCAGGAGGCATTCCATGCCAATCTTGGAAGGAAGCTTTGCACTTGGAGGATGCAAAGCGAAGCCAAGGCGGCTGACAGCCAGTGCTAATCTGTCCAGCGCAGCTTTGCACGTCTGAGAGCCGTCACAGATAAGGGCAATATCGTCAGCGTACTCCAAGTCAAGAAAGCGTTCTCTGGGAGCCGATCCACACCTACGTCGTGTCCTGTGAACGCAATTTCCATGACTTCGTCAATAGTGAATGTGACAGGGAATATCCTTGTCTCACGTCTCTGGAGATAGTGTAGAGCAGTGACAGCTGGCCGTAATCCCTCACTCTGCCCGAGCTACGCGCGTATAGTGCACGGATAATATTTACATATTTCTCCGACACATCTTTACTGAGTAGATAGTCCCAAAGATTACACAGATCAACCGAATCGAAGACACCTTTGGTATCGAGGAACACAACAGTGGGTCGCCAATGGTATGATGCGGATTAAAAAGCCAGGGCTCGACAAGTCCCGTAGGATGGTTTGTGGGAATAACTTTAGTACAAAAAAGTGAAAAACTCGCATCAATGGTCTCACCTTATTATCCACATTAACACAAAGGTACATTCGTCTGCCACGATTTCCAGGGGTTGGTGAGCACAATGTTTGCCCGCACCATGTCGTCACTCACTGACTAAAAATCAGCTCAGGTAATGTATGTGGTGTGAAGCGTGGTCGAGTCGTTTTTAAAAATGGGTAGCGTAGGCGCGGAAATGACAAAAGTCGGAAGAGCGTTCCACGGTTGACAAACTCGAAGGGAAAATTATTCCGGCGGCATTCTAGCCGACTGTATTGGATCGGCAGTTTCAACTTACGACCTCTCAATTCCGTTTTGCGACTAAGTTTCAGAAGGTGCCAGCAGGTGTGACCGAGATTTTTCCAGCTTTGGAATGCAAGGATAAGGTCACCCCGTTGTCGGCGGTATCTGCCGCTGTACCCTTCCACGGCACTCAGTCGCCTATGCTATTGCAGGGGGAACAACCTCTTCGATGGGCGGTCTCCAGCGCAGCCATATCGCGTTTTAACCAGTGTTCTTAAGACTGGATCGCGTATTCTACATGAGGCCTCACATATGTATTGAGCATTTGCGGGAAGACGGAGGGATCGAACCGCCGCAACGCCCTCCGTAACAGACCAACATGTTGGTTCGCGGTTTCAGACCCCTTCAAGGACGGCGCCGAACAAGCGAAACCATCTTGCACCACCACCCCAAGGTCTCGCTCTTGCGAGATGGTTTTCAGCATGTTGTTTCCCAGCTTATCTACCTACTTGGGCTTGTGGCGAACATGCACGGTTTTGCACTTATACGTTTTACACGGAAGTAGATTTGCTTTTGACCATCCAAAAGCGTAGTCTAAGTCTCGTTGCAGCATATCGTGATGATCTTGACTACCGATCGCCAGCCATCTCTTGATGTCATCGGCAAAAAGCAGGAAATTTGACTTGCGGACACTCGCATGGTCGTTAATGAGGAACAAGAATAACCGCCGCGCCAAAACTTACCCTTGTGGAATACACAGTCCACGTTGATTGGATCAGAACATGGATCTGGAACTTCAACGTGAAGGCGCCACTGAAGGAGGAAGTTTCCAATTCATCCCAGGACAGGGTTCCCAACTCCGTACGCTTGCAGCTTTCGAAAGATGATGTGATCTATGCGGTAAAAGGATTTAGATAAGCCTAGGTAGATGTCATCAATGCCGGTTCCACTGTCGGCTATGTAGGTCCAACTGCCACGGGCGATACATGTGACTGTCCTCCAACAACTGATACAAAGTGAACATGTTGATGCAGCCACGACCTCGACGAAACGCAGCTTGCTCCTCGCGAAGCTGGCTTTCATGAGCACTAGTCTGTCTCTGAAGGATTACAGAGGCGAGTAATTTGAAGGCGATGAGGAGCAGACTGATTTCTCTGTGGTTACAGCATTCCGAACGCGAGCCTATTTTGAGGTTCCAGACAATAACGGATAGGTTGAGAC